CGCTATCGAGTGAGATTTCAGCAGCACGCTCGTGAAAGCGTGACAATACGCGCGGACGATAATCTGGAGTGAAAAATAAAATTAATTTTTTTTTTAATATTTTTTATTAATATATGCATGTGTAAGCATGTGTGCTATGTAGACTCACCAACACTGCCCGCTAGTGGATTACCGGTCAAACGTAGGGTCTCTAATATCGGTAGACGTGCCACGCAATCCACTTCCTCGAGATCGTCAATTAAATTACAACTTAAATCCAAATTTACCAATGAAAGTAACTTACGCAGCCCACTTAGCTTTTTTAAACGATTCTGCGCTAAGTTCAACGTAACCAAATTACCTAATTCTAGATGCCAATCAATGCATTCAGCTATTAAATTTACCGACAGCGATAGTATCTGCAACTGTGAGAGTTCAGCGAGATTCTGTACGGCGCGTATACGATTCTGATCTAATACTAGTGTACGTAGTTTCGGCGCTGTACGTACGCTAGCGTCAATTTGTGTTAGTAGGTTGCCGGTCAAATCGAGATCAGCGAGATTAGACCAATCGGCTTTCATGTATGGTAAGTTGACTGAAATGGGTGCATCGGTGCAGCAACTACTGTTCGACAATGATTGTGCTGCTGCCGAACTATTCGAGGTGTAGGAGATAGCATCTGGCGCTGTTGTTGTTGCTATAGCCGCAAATGTATCTCTGTGTATGTTATCACACATAAGTATCTGATTGATGTGTGTCATCGTTGTGCTATGTACGCAGATAGTTTGCACAGTTGGCTTTAATAACGCAATATCGACTATGTTCTCCGTGGACAGACCATGGAATTTGAGTACCTTAACGTTACGGAATGCATTGAGTGTAAAACGGAGGTTTTTGGGTATAATATTACTACGTTCGATAGGTACATCCACCGTATTGTAATCGTTGCTAAAGGTAGTATTGTCCTGTTGGTAATAAAACATACTGGTATAAGCAAATACATAACATATGTATATTTAAAAAAAAAGGTTTACCTTAACTGGCGTCACAATGAGCACCTCCAGTTGTGTACAAAAATCAAGCACATGTGAAAAATCAAATTTACCCCTTTGTTCGATATTCTCCGGGGGACAAGGCAGGCACAACCGTTCACTTATCGCATAAACCTGTTATGTAAAAACAAAACAAAAAAAATGACACGTACAAAGCTATGAGTGTTTTAGCACAAGGCCATACAAATACCTCTAGCGCAGAGAAGTTAAATGCTTTTTTCGAGCTCAAAAGCGTGCTACCCGATTCATTGAATAATTTTGCCAAGTCCTGCAGCAAGTATACTATGTCGTATTTATTAAAATCCAGGAATTCCGCTAATACGCGCGGTAATTGTATGCGAAAGAATACAAGCAATTCTTGCACATATTTCTCCAACTGTTCACGTCGTTGCTCTAGAAATGCAGGGTTTTTGTTGCCCACCAGCTGGAATGCAAACTTACGTTAAATAAAATGCATAAGTTTTCAATAAGCCTATATACCTTTTTTGGCGGTAGTAATTTTTTGGAGATTGCGATTTCATCCACTAATTTATCATGCAGCTGCGCGAAGTCACGATAACGACGTTCTACAAGCCACTCCACCTGATGTACGCGCACTTTGATATCATAATACACAACACCAGTGGACGATTCTATATATTTTGGTATAGTTACGTGTGTATCGCCGTTTTGTCTGAAGTAACAGGACATCTTTAATATTTATGCTTAAACAAATTGACTTAAATAACTCCTAGACTTTTTTTTTTAATGTCGAAAACTGCAGTCCCTTGCTACGTTGCGTATACACTTAATTAGTCATCTTTTTTAATTTTACAATTTCGTTAATACTTAAAAGTTGTTAAACACATACAATAGCAATTTATACACCTTAACGAAACGACTTAATTAAATTACACTTTCTTTTTTTATTATGAGTGAGAAAAACTAGACAGACGGATTTTGATGCCTTGGAACTTATGAGCAAACAGCTGTTCAATGGGGGCGTATAATTTGCGTTGGCCTCCAAACTGTTACCTTYGAAAAGCGAAATTAATAATATGGCAACTTATACGAAAACGCTTTCAGTAGCTTATATTTATTAGAAAATGAAAGTGTTAGCGTAGATAATGTATTAATATACATATTTCCATTAAAAAGTCAATATATATTTTGAAAAAAATCGACGAAAATTCAGTTGCGATTTCTATGTTTATTTTTTAGCAACTGGTCACTTTATATCACACAGCTGTCAGCCGGCAATTGTTTACATCTGTTTTTTGGCATTAGTGATTTGTTGGCTCTTTGCGGCTTTTGCGTTTATAAGAAAAAATCAGATAATCCCTTTTTTATTTATATTTTGTACAGTAAAAAAAATGGTACTAAATAGACGAAAAGTGTAATAAGATTTTAAATAATAAAGCATTCGCAAATACCACATCGGTATGGCATTTTTGGAAGACTGTATAATCGTGTTCGTATCACAGGTGGGCACGCAACTAAATCTATTATTTATTTTGTACATTTTCTATAAATTTTACACAATTTTTCTTACAGATCCTGTTCTTTACCGGAGGCTGGTTATTTTTTATGAAACAACTATTTAAGAATTATGAAATACGACACATTTCCGTACAACTCATATTCTCGGTGTGTTTTGCACTCTCGCTCACCATGTTTGAGTTGATAATATTCGAGATTTTGGGCGTGCTAGAATCAAGCTCGCGTTATTTCCACTGGCGACTAGGTTTAACGCTGTTGCTACTCATGGTAATAGCTGTCATACCACTATACATTTTATATTCCGTGATACATAGTTTATCTTTTGGTATGATACTGTGTTTATTTACTAGTATTACTGTAATAATATTGCTYTAAATACTCTAACAGTATCTGACAAAGCGGTGCGTGTAATAACCATACTCTGTTGGTTCGTATTTCTATATGGCCTATGGAAAATTGGTGATCCATTCCCACTGCTTAGCGTTTCACATGGAATTTTCACCATCGAACAAGGCGTATCACGTATTGGCGTAATTGGTGTTACTGTTATGGCTGTACTCTCTGGCTTTGGTGCGGTCAATTGTCCATACCAAAGCATGACTTATTTTATAAAGTAGGTTGGCAGTATTTTCTATCAGATTATATATTCTTTCATTCAACTTTTTATTCTCAGACCTGTTTCKCAAAGTGATATTATAAATTTGGAAAGGCGTTTGCAGCTAACAGTCGATATGATTGTAGCAAAAAAGAAGCGTATTGCGCTAGAAATGCATCGGCGCAAGAAAGAAACCCAAAACAAGAAAGGTTTATGGAATATATTAAGTTCGGCTGTTAATCGTTTGGACAGTAGTGGCCAAGGTTTGTATTTATACAATTTTGACAATATCTATTATTAATTACATAAACGATTTCTCTAGATATTGGTCAACTGCGTTTAGAGATTTACGGTTTAGAAGAACTGATGCGTCAGCTGTTCATGGAAATCAATTCTATGAAAAATATGCAAGAACGTCAAAGGTGGTCGCAAACGTTGCAGGGTAAATATTTTAATGTTTTGGGACACTTCTTCAGCATATACTGCCTGTATAAGATTTTTATTGTAAGTAGAGATGTTGTAACATTTACCATTTTAATTTTATWATAATTACTGTTCCTTTTTTATTTAGTGTACAGTTAATATTATATTCGACCGTGTGGGTCGTAAAGATCCTGTTACACGTGGTCTGGAGATTGCCGTGCATTGGTGTGGTTTCGATATAGATCTTGCCTTCTGGAATCAACATATATCCTTTTTACTCGTTGGCTGTATTGTTGTGACGTCTATACGTGGTTTGCTGTTGACATTGACGAAGGTTATTTAGACATTTTTTAATACATTTATTTAGTTTTTCCTTGCTAAAATGTTATGCTCCTCTCTTTACAGTTTTTCTATAGAATATCGTCTAGTAAATCATCAAATATTATCGTGTTAATTATGGCGCAAATAATGGGCATGTACTTCTGCTCTTCAGTCCTACTGATGCGTATGAACTTACCTGCCGAATATCGTGTTATTATCACAGAAGTTCTAGGAAGTYTGCATTTTAATTTCTATCATCGTTGGTTTGATGTTATATTCCTAGTTAGTGCACTGAGCACTATATTAGTTCTATATCTATCACAGAAACCGAAATATGATGCCAGCATAGATTAGGGAAACGTTTACCTACGATTTGTAACAACAAAAAAGTTATTTATAGCTAAAAACCTATTTGTACTATATAATGWTACAAAACCTATAAGTAAGCACATATGTATGTGTATGTATGTGTGTTTTAGTACAAGTACATGTACTCGTATTTAGTAAACCAAAAATATTTAATTGAAATTAATTGTAAATTTTGTTAAGCTTATTATATTATATAATTAACTGAAACTACTAAAGCTGTAAACAATTTTATGTCTGCGTGTGAAACATATTAGATTATTTGTATTCCGCTAACGCACAAATCGCGAGCGATTAATACGGAATAAACTATTTCACCACTGCTAACGCATATTGCATTAAAATATTCCATTATTTTAAAGCAATTATACTATATGTATTCTTATGAAATTATTTATAATAAATAAAACTATTAAATTTGTATACAAAAAGAGCATTACTGATTTTTATTATGGACAGAAAGCTTCCAAAAGCATTTTCATGAGCGGAATACGCTATATCTGYTTCCTTTAGTGCAAAACTTTTTCTAAAAAGTGAATTTTTTGAGTGTGAGCTAACTTTCTTAAAACTGAGATTTTCATATACATATGTATGTATGTGTGTATGTATTTTGTATTGAACATGAAAATTCGCAAACATATGACAGCACACATTTTATATATAAAGAACATTTTTTATAATAAATACAATTTTTTGATAGTTGTTATTTGTTTTTAAAAATTTCAGCATTCTCATAGAATTATTTCTTGCATTAAATTTTTCACTAACCAACWTTATTATTATTTCCAAAATACGGCAACACCACCACCGTTCGCTCTTGTGCCATCCACAATMTGCATATTTCGCTTTTTATAAAATCAGTTTGATTTCAATTGGCGCTTATTTTACCTGTGTTGAAATATTTGTTTGTTTTTCTTTTGACAATTTTGTTAAGGAATTTTATATATAACAACATAAACTTATCAGTATTATATTTGTGTTATAAGTAAACAGTTTAAGAGCTATAAACATGAGTGATAATATGCGTGTGAATGTTTCAAAGGGACGTGCCGATGCTGAAATGGCAAATGCAGCAGCTGCTGCCGGCTCGCATCCTGATGTAGATGAAGAGATCAGCGTGATCCAGAATATGACATCATTTCTATTGGAGCATGGCGGTGCTGATGTGGACTCGAAAGTGCTGCGTACAATTGCGGAGGCGCTTTCCAAACGTTTAAATGAGTAAGTACATAATTGAAATAATGTTTAAAAGCCTCTTGTGACCTTAACCCTGCATACAACGCGGAACTTTTATGCAAGTRATGTTGTTATATGCACTTTTAACTAACAAGTAAATAACGCCATCTGATGATTAACAACATTGTTTCATATTATGCTATAGGAAAATATCACGATTTCACCACATCATTTGTAATTAACACAAGTATGCTGTCTGTATCGCATGCTTTAATTTTGTTTCACATGCACAAGTTAAGACTCTTTATGTTGCAAAACTGAATTTTAGGTTGTATATTTAATATTTTTTATAATGACCTATGATGTGATATCACGGCAAGCTTGTACAAATAATCATGTTGGCACATCGTATTGTTTAATTTGAGGCCTCATGTCACACGGTCGGTATAATACCAACATCTCCTCACATCGCCTCAATAGCATAACAAAGCGGCATTTATCGATTACAAATTTGAATCACTGGTGAAATCGAATAATAACGCTTTTAAGCGTTCGAGAAGTGTTTGATGGAGTTGTTATAATATTTTTAGATGACTTTGGCAAATTGATAAATTATGAATAATATTTGTTGTAAAAAGTTTGTTTTCATATCTCATAAAAAAATTTCAATTAGAATATAAAAATTAAATAAATATA